TATAAATATATTATTGTTCATGAAATTTTAAATTTTTTAATATAAGCAAAAATTTTATCTTTGATTGCAATGAAAATCTCAACTAACGCTATCTTAGGTTATTCTTAACGTGTGTCGCTAAAAAGTGAGTAAACAAACTTTGACTTATATATAATACACCYCTGATAAATAGCATTATTTTATTATTATTAATATTGGAGCTTACATGTGATTAATAGCAGCATTGTGTGCCCCCTCGTCGTCGTCATTTTAGTTGTAGTTTTATATGAGCTCAAGTGTATTTAGCAACGTTCGTTCACAAATGTTTATTTATGTTTTACGCAAATATTGTAGTATTTGACTTTTGCGATATTCTTCGTCGTTATTTAACGTAAACTAACGTTTCCGCGTTCGCTTTTGCAAATAAAAATAAATAAATATCTCTCGGCAATTGACTGCGCAATCAATAATAACAATTGTTTATATCGATGTAAAATAAATCGTTTACTTTGAGTTTAAATTTGAATTTGAAATTGAAATTGAAATCGAAATCGAATTTGAATTGCAACACGCGCACAATTTACGTATGTATGTATGCAGGTATTAGCATCCAGCAAGAGTTTCGATTTCCCAACAATCATCCAAGTTCAGTGGCACTCGACGCGCTCGCAGAGACCCCGCGAGTTGATCTTTCTGGTTCTGGTTTCTGTTGTCGACTGAGCGCAGCTCGCTGGCGCTGACAGTCGACTGGCTCCAGCTAGTATGGATACGCCCCTCTCCCCGCGCACACATACGCCCCTCTGCGCTGGGCATGAATCACACCAACACAAAATCAACCGGTTGCCGCTCGATCGCGGGGCTTCAACTTATTTCTATTTTTCCTATGCAAAAAAAGTAATTTCAACAATTTGCGTATATATATTTCTGTTATTGTTGCTTTTACTTAGCGTAACTTGGCTAATTGCAGTCACTGATCCACCCAAAAAACAAGTGGCTAAGACCCACAACATCAACAACAACACAAACAGCAACTGCTGCAGTAACTGTCTCAGCCGGCAAAGGCAAAAGGCAACTGCAAAGCAATTGTCGAATGCACAGCGATCGCCTCTACACTTAACACACACAAACACATGCTCATTCATGTAATTTATAATTATATATCCCTAGCTATACATATAGCCCATACATCGTATATATATACATATATACCTCCGCATGCCCGCATTTACATTTTTCTTGTCGCATTTGTCGTTGTTTTCGCACAATTTCTTGCATTTTGTTTAAAAATAAAATTGCATTGCGCTGCAAATTTAGTAGCATTTTGGCAGGTTTGTAGGCGTGGCCCTAAAACATATTCGCATTTTTATTGGAACGCCAGACATGCTAATTGGTATATTGTAAAACTAACAGAAATATTTGAAATGGAAGCAGCGCACTGTGAATGCCCTACAAAAAATAGAAATAAATTTGGAATATAATATAATAAGTAATAAATAAAACAAAGTAATAAATTTCAAATTATTCATACGTATCTTTTATATTATATATACTAATTAAAAATTTATTAAACATATAAATCAAAACTAAGTTCAAAGATCAAGCAAAGTATAATACATATAATTATACATAGCTTTATATTAACAAGGCGGGTAACTATCCAAACCCTCCAAGGATCATCAAAATAATAAACACAAGGATAAACATGTATACCTCAGATATACAAAAATTTCGAATAATATAATGTAATAATATTCATATAGCCAACACCTTAAACCCCAATTCCTTAATTGCTCATCTTACAGAATCTATTATATATTTGATATACCCTTTGCCTTCGTTAAGAATATATGATAAATTTTGTAAGTTTTCACGCCTTTGTCGTCACTTGGAAACAATCAAGCGTTCTGCCGTCTGTCATTAGATAGATATATCATATTTATGGCTTGGAAACAGGTTTCTGCTTGTACTTCACATTGCTCTGCCGCAAACGATTTGATTCTCAATGTGGACATAGCCTAATTGGTGTCGGCCGGTAATTGCGTTCTAGGTGGGACAGAATTGTACTGCCATATATGTTACGATACGTTATCTCGGCACAGAATTCTTCCAGATAAAGCAAAACACAATTTACAATAATGATCTGATTACTTACTTGATTTAAACAAGCGATAATTAGTTAAAGTAGATACCGATTGCCATAGCGCGAGTTGAGGTAGTTCCTCGCTAGACCTCAACTTGGCCGTTCCGTCAAAGAATCGTGCATTGACTCCAGTTGAGACATTACAAATTGAAAACATACATACATACATCTCTTTAAATAAAWCATAGTTGATTGATTCGCTTGGGGCTTTTCATAATTGATTCACTTCAACTGCTACCTGACGTTGAACTCTGTCAATGCCAATGTCCAGCTTTTCGACATTAACATTTGTTTGTCATTGGCATTGAATAGATCTGAGAGTATTATTATAAATGGCTTGTGCCAATTAACCATTGGATAGTTGCGAAGCGCTACAGTAGTTAATAGAGTTCAAGTGTTGTTCGAAAGCTCTTAAGGCAATATTTTTAATGTTTTTTAAATTGCCAGCAGAGTGTGGAACAGGCCACAGTGGAAACAAGGCAAGCAACGCTTAACGAGCAGAAGACAAAACTATAAGTATAAATATAAATACAATTATAGATTATATATATAATATAAAAAGGTGTATTAGAATCAAAATTAGAATTGACTAAGACCAATTGTCAGCATAAATTTAATAATGATAAAATAAAAACTTTCGGCATGCGCAATTAACCGAAATCAGAAATGCATTAAAAACAATTTGTAAGCCACTCTTGGCTGATTACAACTGGTTTTGGGCATAGTTGTTTTTTCTTTTGGTCAGCACGTAGTTGAGTCATCCGGTGTGTCGGTCTGTGTCACCAGGTGATGAAACCAGCAGCAACCAGTTGTTGAATAAGTGATACAGTACATACATATGCATACATATGTATATATATATATGTACATCAGTTGCTTCCCCTACAACAATGAACCGTTCAGTTTTAAACATTTAGTTGGTTTATTTATAGTTAATACGTATATGTAAGTGTGTTTGTTTGTATGCTTTAAATTGACCGTTAGCGGTTACATATTTTGAGTAAATACTGTATCTTAAATAATACAATATCGCTTATAGATTTGCTTAAACAATTGACGACCAAGGCCTGCAATAACATAATTGATGTCTTTCTCCTTACATTTTCGTACAAGCGTGTATATATAGGTAAACATTTATGTGTATATAATACAGGTACAACTAGATGGAATGCCGCTAATTTCTTGTGTTTAACATTTGCAGCTATAACATACATACATATATAGATATAGATTTATATCATATAGATTGAATATCATTGCGTAATACTTATGTTACAATTAGTTCAATGGAATCTTCAAATTTGCGCTAACTAGTTTAATTTGTAGTTTAGCTTACAGTTAATACAATTGCATTACTAATTGATTGAGATTTCATTAGTGCTCGGGTTACATACGACATTGGTTGCATTTGTGAAATGAAATACAGAATTTGGTATTAAACAAATTTAAAACAAACAAATCATGAATATGAATATAAAACTATTAATTAAAATAAAAACAAATATTTATATATACATATAAAATATTAAAATAATAATACTAAAATCAGATGAATCTCATATTTTCAAATTGAGTTGCCGTAGTTGGTTGTACTTGATTAGTATAGCTTGCTTGAACACATTTACCGAATATCTTAATTATGGCTAATTCTAATTCAGAAAAGATCAAATCAGCCCTAACACTAGAACAAATGTGCATATATACATTGCAGTTATCTCTCTGCTAATTGCCTATGATGTGTAATTACTTACAATTACTTCCTTGTAATTGAACAAATACCTAATTAGGAATGGAACTGTTACAACAATTGTTCTGCAATAAATGTGAGTTCGAGTTCGGAGTTTGGCGCCAACAACTACTGATTCCTATCTGCCTGGCACAAAAACGGGAGCAATCAGCTTAATGCATTTTAGGCAGCTCTTATCTATCGGGGAACAGTGATTCGTAGCTGGGCGGCAGATCTTTGGGTGTGGCCGGCTGTTGCTGCTGTTGATAACGGCCCTGCGACACTGGCGACATATCGTGGGTCAGCACACCATCGTACGAAGTTGCCGTGGGCAGCTCTATGGTGGGCACATCGGACTGCAGGTATTATGGTATTATTTTATATGAGTATCTGTGATCTTTTGCAAATATCCGATTTGTACTTACCCGGTTACGTCGTTGATTGAAGCGTGCTGCAGATGCTTCGTGGGCGTGCTGCTGCACTGTAATGCAGTTCCAGTATTTCCAACAGATCCACACACAAAATCCTACGCCCACCATGGTAAAGATGAGCGATGTAATTGCCGAAAGGGCCACATTTGTTGTGTCCATTTCTTCAGGCGGTATAGCATCGTGAAAGCAGGTACCCTCATCCCGGCATGGATACATACAGTTTGTTATATTGTCTTGAACAAAATGACGCGATATGCAGGAGTATTTATCCTTTGGATTGCACAGAATATCGCCAGCAAACTGGCATTCGGAGTGTGCCGTCAGGACCATGTGTAGCTCAAGTGGCTCCGCCAATATATGCCGATCCCGATTGATAAATATGTGAACATGTGCGTCACGATCACGCTGATCGAACATTAAACGGCCAGCGGGACCATTGATGGAAATGTCGCTGCAAATCCGTTCGCTGGGCGAACGATTGCCGCTGCTAAACTGTATATAGTCGATACATTTCTTGGTCACCGGATCGCTGCGCAGCTTTAGCCGTGTGATGATCGTGAAAATGCCACGCGGTGGACGCTCATTGGTCTGAACGCGGAACTGACAATCATACTTGATTTTATTAACCGAATGCCCTCCACTGGGCAGAGTTACATTCCAGGTTTGAGTTATAATTGCAGCGGAATCGTGTTCATCGGTTAGCCGTAGCATTGGATCGCCGCGAAAGGCCTTGGATAACGTATAGATGAGCTTGTCCGAGCATAAATTATCCTGCAGTCGAACTATTTTATAGCAATTGATTGCATCTGGTGCATAGAACGCAATTGCAAGCGTCAATTTGAATAGCGACCATATTGAGCATTTAATCATTTTGTTAAAATCACGACCAGCACGAGAGCGTCGGTGCTATGTAAGTGCTTGTGCGACACGTCCTGCGTGTGTGCTATATGTTAATTACTATGAATGTAAACATGCACGTTCGTTTGTTTTATAAAGTTTTACTGAAATATTCCCCAAACTTTTATTGTTTTGCATCCGTGCCAGGGCTGAATATCTACCAAGGCTACCGAGGGCTGCACTCTATTATTGCATTCATAGATTTATCGGTGCATTTATATAGTGACAATTATTCTTCACAGAATGCATTAACAGAGAGCAGAGAATATCGATAATAGCAAGAAGCAACAGCTGTTCTACAAACGTGCAAACAATTTAGTTTTGAGTGCAATTGGTTCTAGTTAGATTAAGTTATGGTTATATTGGTTAAAGTTAAAAAGTTATTCTTCTATTTTGGTAGATTTATCGTATGCTTATGTTATTATTATTATAYTTATAATAAAATTCAAAAATCAAGGGAGACCTTTACAGAACATGTTAAATTTTTAGGATGGCCACACATTTTAACATTATATTACTAACCACACACAACACGAGTGTGGAAAACTTATTTATATATATTTATTCTAACTATTTAGACGCCGGCAACTGTTGAAGACGTAAACATCTACGCAGCATCATAACAGAGAATCACTAAGGATGCTCGTGCTGTGCACCTTTGTTGTCATTACCTTGTAATATGCCTGATCGTCTGGCATGTTAACGTCTCGCGAAAAATCCTGCTGAGCTATTTCTAGTCCAACAACCTCAACGCCACGGCAAAGGCGAACGCAAATTCAATGGCCACATCGGACTTTGTACTAGGCGGCCTGGCCTCCGTGGGCGCCACCTTTTTCACGAACCCGATCGAGGTGGTCAAGACGCGCATCCAACTGCAGGGCGAGCTGGCAGCACGCGGCTCCTACGTGGAGCCCTACAAAGGAATCGTTCAGGCCTTTATCACAGTGGCCAAAAATGATGGAATGATGGGTCTGCAGAAGGGTCTTGCGCCCGCCCTCTACTTTCAATTCATAATCAACTCTTTCCGGTGAGTAAATTGACATTGACTTGTGAGATAATTTACTCCATCAATTTGCTATTTCATCACTAGGTTAAGCATTTACACAAACGCCATGGAAAATCATTGGATGCATAAGAAAAATGGCGAGGTTTCCTTTAGCTTGGGGCTGATGTGGGGCGCCATTGGCGGCATTGTTGGCTCCTACTTTTCTAGTCCATTTTTCATGGTGAGAGCGCGTGGCTGGCTATTACATAAAGGCATGACCATATATAGACAGACATATAGACGAAACTTATCTATGTTTTCGTTGATTGCTGTACTAATTTGAATGTCTGGACAAATAGAATGGCGAACTCCGCACAGATAAGACTGATACCTAATCTTTCTTTACTTTTTACAATGTAGATCAAGACGCAATTACAATCGCAGGCAGCCAAGGAGATCGCCGTTGGCCACCAGCATGCACACAAGTCCATGAGCGGCGCCCTCAAAGAGATCTACAGCAAAGGAGGCATAGTTGGACTGTGGCGTGGATCCTTGTCTGCCCTGCCCAGAGCTGCCGTCGGCTCTGGTGCACAGATCGCAACATTTGGCAAGACCAAATCATTGTTGATGGAATACGATTTGGTTCACCAGCCAACGTTGAATTCCTTTTGCTCAGGCTTAATTGCCGGCTCACTAATGTCCGTGGCTATAACGCCGCCCGATGTGATTAGTACGCGACTCTATAACCAGGGCCTTGATGCGCAGGGGCGTGGCCTCTACTATAAGGGCTGGCTGGATTGCTTTGTGAAGATCTTGCGCACCGAGGGCATCTATGGTATGTATAAGGGCTTTTGGGCCAATTATCTACGTATCGCTCCACACTCCACGTTAGTGCTGTTGTTCTTCGATGAGCTGATTGCCGTACGTGAAAAGTACAAACTTGGAGATGCTTCTTCCTGATTGTGCTAGTCCTTATCTTTGTGTAACGTTAAGTACAAATGTGTATAATTGTTTTGCTAGTAGTTTGTTGAAGACAAAGTGAAAGTGAATCGCCAAAGATCAAGTCCTCCATTCCCAGTTCCAAACTCCTGCTAACTAAGGCTATCTATCAATATTGCCGCAATTGTGCCTTATTGCTTGACTTAATTTTTAAAACTGAAAAATGAGATCAGTTTATATTTTTTTAAACCGTTATCCTCACGCTTAGTAAGCTAATAGTATCCTCTTAGTAAGTAGCCGTAACTGTAACTGTGCAATACTTTTATTAAATAAAGATCGTTATTTTGTTTACATTTTATGAATTTTATTTGAAAAATGTTATGTCTGTTATATTTTCCAATTAGAACAATTTTAAAATTTGCTCAAATTTGCGTCACCTTATGTTGGCTGCGGCTCTATGTGGCGGCCAGTCGATTGCTGCAACTCCAAAGACTGGGTGAATCGAGAAGCTGAAACATCGGTGATGAAACTAGTTGGCGACGCACATTAAATCAATTAGTTGCTGAAATTAACAGTTACAAAATGAGCTCACAACTTACCCAGATACCCCAAATGTTTGAGAATTACAAGGAGACGGTGCGAAAATCGCTACGTGACCCTAACAAGCCGTGGACCAAAGCGTTTGATATTTTGGAGGAGCGCACTTCCGTCGATAGAGTGAATCTATTTTCCGGTGAGTCCTGTCTCCAGCTAAACTTTACAGTGGAACAACAGGACTTTGTCCCCCCCAGCCATGCTGCACCAAATACGTGGCTACGCAACGTGACTAAGTGGAATTTTTTTTATTTTATTTTTTTTTGAAATATATAAATAGAAACCGCAACCTGTTATAATGCACTCAAGCAGTCAGGCAGGCATCACATGAGGCGCCAAAATAGGCAAAATTGTTATACTAGCAAAGCAGGCTGGGATTACTTAGGGAATTGCATACTTTTTACAGCTCCACACAAACACAACACAACACACACTCCTCTCTTTTTCTCTCTCTATCTCTCATATGTGAAAGCTGCATACGTGTAGGAGTGTGTGCTTGTGTATATATTTTTCCATAAACTGTGTCTTTCTTTTGTTTACTTCACACACAGCTGTCTGCAGTAACGTAATTTCTATCTATTGTGGCGCACATTCAATAATCGCATTTTTGCCATAATTGAGAAACGATTATTTTTTAATTAAAATCTAAACAGAGGTCAAGCTCAGCTTCGACTTTGACCGTGTTTTGTGCTGTCGTGGCGCTTTTGCACACGTGTATAACGACTAGGTGTAGACCCATGCAGGCATACATATTTGTGTATGATTGTATGGGTGTGTTTTTTTGTAAATATATACATATGTGGAATATAGAGGTGCTAACGCCAATTCTGTAAAAGCCCTAAATGTGGCTTTGGGATTATATTATGGAAATAAAACATCGCCAAGCAGTGCGACGAAATGTTCGCGTGCCTCTGGTCTACATTGGTTCAGGTGAGTCGCCGCCCCATGCGTAGCTAGACTGTGCCTGTCCGTATATGAGTGTGTGCGTGAGTAAGCGACTGTGTTTATGTGCGCCGCCTGTGCTTCGTCTGTCTACACATATTTTATATTTATGAGTAGCGCAGTATAACAGTCGCGAATTTCATGAGTTGAGGCTGTGACGTCAGTAACGATATGTTCGATATAAAAAAAAAAAATAATAGAGGTTAGCTGTGCACGCCAGTAGCAAAATTCAAGTGCATCCGCCCGAGCGGGCACTAAATGCAACACTGAATGCTGGGTTCAATTCATCTGCAGCGGCACAAAGCATTTCAAATTTATAGGCGCGCAATGCGCGTGTGACTAGACATCAAGTGCGAATATGACAAGAGCTGAAAGGTTAATAATAGCCACACAGATGCGAGACGCTGCAGCGAATCACGAGCGAGCAAAGGGCAATTGTGTTTTTTACATCCAACCCAGAGCACAGGCAGGAGATAGAGATCGGCCATAAATCATGGCTTTCGAGGCATTGGAATCGAAACTAATTGAGATTTTCAAGGAAAATCCTGTTTTGCGGATTGGTAGACGAGCAAAGCGTTACATTTGATATACATATATTGAACGGAGATTAACCCTTTGAATTGCATTTTCAGGTGCTGTCGCATTGTGTGCTATTTATTTGATATTCGGCTGCTGGGCCCAGCTCGTGTGCAACATCATTGGCGTACTATATCCGGCCTATGTGTCCATTCATGCCATCGAGTCGAGCACCAAACAGGACGATACCAAGTGGCTCATCTACTGGGTCACCTTTGGCATCTTCACGGTCATTGAGTTTTTCTCCCACATCGTAACTAACATTATTCCGCTCTATTGGCTATTGAAGGTGAGTCGCAAGTCCTTGAACTGAAGTGTGATTATCTACTTGAATCTCTCTTATCTATTTTCCAGTGTGGCTTCCTCATCTGGTGCATGCTGCCCGTGGAAAACAATGGCTCTGTTATCATTTACAATAAGTTGGTGCGCCCATATTTCCTGAAGCATCATGCTTGTAAGTTATACACGCCACCTGATCTCTTAGAGGTGAAATATTAATGCGAGAATTCCCTTTTTCAGCGGTTGACAAAATCATCGATGATGGCATCAGGAAGGCCGGCAATGTGCTGAAGAAAGAATAGAGACGCTATTACGTTTTTTTGTTTACTTCCTTAAGCATTTTCGTAGCGTCCGCCTTCAGGAATGGCCCGTCACGCCAGTTTACATCATATTAGACCGCGATGATTGTCTGCACATTTCAATTTGTACTTGATTGTTGTTTTGGGCGCATGCCACTTGGTTTTAAAAACCCCTCATTTGATGATTCGCATTAGATGTGTTTGTAGTGAAATCTCGGCTTGTTAAACATAAATTTCAAAAAGAAGACAAACAACTATTTATTATGAAGTTTAATGTATGACTAAATAATGCACAACTATGCCGTCTCGGCAGGCTTGGCGGCTTCGGCTGCAGCCGCCTCTGCTGCTGCTTTACGATTGCGCCAGGCGTTCATATAGGTGCGGGGGTGGACGGGGAGTAGACCGGCGATTCCCAGCAGCTCGGCCGCCGGGTCGGACATGTGAGCACCTTTGCCTAGCCAGTACCGTATGCGTTCTGTATTTAGGGCCACCAGTCGTTCATTTGTCGCATTTGGCAGCGGATCATAGGAGCCCACTTGCTCAATGACAGGCTGGTGTTGATTCTTACGACGCTGTAAAAACGCTTTCATCAGATTTAAAATTATATATTGCTTAAATTTGAGCTCAGACCTCCATGACAACTATATGATAGAATGGGCGATTCGCACAGCCATGGCGCACAAACCGTATTATCTTGGCCGAATGCTTGTAAAAGCGACCAATGCCACTGGCAGGCGATAAGGACATTTTAAGGCTTATTCAAACTTCACTTAACAAGAAAATGTGTTATGAAAACAGTATACAATTATGGCACGTCGATTTCGATTTATCGGTTATCGGAATATCTATTAGTATGGACAAAATCGAATAGATCGCTCTAAATTCAATAGTCGATTGTGACCAGTATAATTTATGACAGGACTATATCCGAAGGACCAAAAAGAAGTGCTAAAAAACGACACCGTTCAATTTTAGACACATTTTACTCATGCAACTCTGTGTGCCAACCAATTTGTGTACACACTGGCCGCTCACACAAAATGGCGTCAGCAGTCGAACACGAACACGAACACTAAGGAATTTTTCAGTGGTGTCTGTGTCTGTGAATTAATATTGGGGGTAAAAAAACTGTGTGCGTTTATTTTGTTTATAAATTTAATTGCAAATACGGCACATAAATACACAGCGCGTACACACACACCTACACATACGAATTCAAAAGTGCGCTTATCAATGAATTTAATTTGAGGCAGCAGCAGCAGCAAGAAGCACGCCAACGCCAACGAAGTGAATTTTTTGAGGGAACGGAAAAAAATGGCGCCCGCCTCAGCCACAGAAGCAAGTTGACTTTCTTTTCGGTGTGTGTAGTTCGTCGCCGTACTCGTTGTTCGTTTTCGTCGCATATTTGTCGCGATCAAAAATAGTGAAAAAAAAGAGAGAAATATTGCAAATTGCATTCAAAACGCGACGTTGACGTACAGCAGGAGGCTAGTATTTTGTACGTGATTTTGTATAACTACATACATATACATATAATACAAATACAAGCAACAGAAAAGTGCAATTACATTTGCGTTTGGAAATTTTGCGCTTTTTTCTCTTTCGCCTCCCCCTTTTTCTGCTTTGCTTCATTTATAATGTGCGCTGCACAGAGCAATCCGCCGCCCTTCGGCTATACTTGGGGTTTTGCAGACAACGGCAACCGTGCCGCAGAATCAGTTTTGGAGATATCGCCCAATATTAACTACACTGTCAGTGGGGAATCGGTAAGTGAAGTCTCAATTTGTATGTATACTTCAAATTCCCTTCGTTGCATATTATCAAATATGTTTCTATAATTTTTTCATTGTTTTTTTTTTTTTTTTTTTTTTAATATCGAATGCGAGTGCTTTTGCAAATGCAGAATAACCAATCGACCCAACGAGCTAGCTAGCCAACTACCCCCCGCCACCCACGTAATAAATGTTTCTGTTGCTTTCCCACAGCGAATCGTGTTGTGTCTTCTCTCCTTACCCCCCTTTGTACGTTCCTGTTGCCCCAACAACAGCGCCACATACACACAAGCATATTGGCTAGAGATGGCCTTAAGATTTAGTCTTCCAACACGAATAACACGAATTGAGTTTTCACATACCTGTAGTATAATTAAACTGAAACCAGCTGAAATATAAATTACATTCTAAAGTATGCTTATAGGATACAATTTTATATATATATATATATAAATCTGTTTAATTTAATCAATTAATTKAAATAGTTTTCAAGTAATACAGCCTAATCGGTATTTGTCTGATAAGTTTAAATATCACGCTCACATCCCTAATACAGATACAGCTACGTCGTCCGCTCGCTCGCTCACTCGTTGGTTTTGGACTCTGTATGTATAAGTGCATCAGCCATATATACGTGTATATGCGTATGCAGGGTTGTGCGCGTGTATGTATACACGTACGATATACATACATACGTGGAGGCTCAAATACAAGAAAAAAACCAGCACATATACTTTTATGTAACTGCGTTGGTCATGCGAATGCGAGCGAGTGTGTTAGAATTCTTTTACCATACATTTATACGAAATTTTTTCGTTTCCATTTCATTCGTAAACATTCATAATTTGGTATTTGTAAAAAGTATGCGTAAGTATGTACATACATACATAGCATACGTATGCATGTAGATTTTGTGTGTATGCAAACAAACAATAATACGCACGTTGCGCTGCACACGCGGTGGCAGCTGATTGCAATACATCTCCCACTCTCCCATGATATTAGGAATTTAATTAAACATGTGGCTTAATTATTTAACGTGTGGTGGGCGAAACTTATAGTATGGCGTTCGCAAAAGCAATCGAATATAATCGATATTTATACATATATAAATACAATTTTCTATTCATCTAATTTTAAATAAATTTTACTGCATATTGGTTTTTAATCATAAATTTTATTTGTTGCGTTTCTGTTCATTTTGTGCGTTCATTTTGTTTTGTACAACAATTTTCTTATACAATTGGCAGTACCTTTTTTTCTTTGGCATGAGAGTGCAACCCTATTTCGCTGCGTTTCTGCCTGCCTCTTTTGCGCACGTTTGTGAATACACACACACACTCGCAGATAGTGTTTCGTTGTGTTTGAATTCGCCGCGTTGTGCTGTGCTGGCGACCATTTTGTGTGCATGTGTGCGGCAGTCGTCAAATCGCCGTTCGTTGAATATTCAACACTAACACATAGTCAGCGCACGCATACCAAAAACGACGCTCTCTCATGTACGCATACACACCCAGTTCGGCACATGAGTGTGCGTGCGGTGCGTGCGTGTGTTTTGATTCCACTTGCTTACGTTTTGGCGCTCAACAAACTGTCAAAAGTCCAATTGCACATACACTCGCACACACACACCAACATATACATACATATAGCTCGAGCGCAGTGGAAAAAGCGCGCGCTTTGCTGTCGCTGTTTGTCTGCTCCTCTTCTTGTTCTTCTGCTGCCGCTGCTGCCTTCGCCGACGCCGCTGTCGCCGCCGCCACCGCTGCTTGCTTTCCTTTCATTTGGTATTGTGTTATTTTTTTTTATCAACTGTTGCTGCGCCGTGCCGTAGCGCAGCGCTGCGCAGGTGTAGCGTGTTATTAAGACAAAATGAACAACAAAACAACAAAGCGCAACAATAAATACAAAATACTACCATGAATCAATTGCAGTGGCAACTGTACCTTGTACTAATCATTAGCATAGAATTAGATTAATTAACCTAACCCAAAATCTATGTATATTGGATTAATGAATGTGTTATGCAACGACCAAGCGACCAGTGTTGAGCAACGCTGAAAGCACTTGCACTTGCATTTCCTGTAATCTGTTCGGTTTTTGGGGACAAATCAATCAATCAATCAAAGCAAACAAACAAACTAACAACAGACATGAACAACAACAAACAATCAAAATACCAAAATCAAAACAATCAAATCGAATCAACTTAAATGCTATAGAAACAAACAAAATAACATCATCCATCATCCGTTATGTGGAGAGTTGTTGGTGCATCCATAAATCCACAAATCCACAATTAGCCAGCTGTCGCCAGTTATACTGACAAAAACAATGTGTACACACCCATTTTAGATGCCCTATCTGTTATCCACGGATGGATCATTGGCCGTACAAAAGGATGTTAAAGGTGCACTCACCAGCAATAAGGGCAATGTCGTTCGTCGCATGTTCGTGGTGAACGATTCCTCGTTTGCGCCCGGAACACAAAGGTGCGTTTTCAAAGACAAACAAAACAATAAATATGATATAAAACAAATCATAAAAAAAAAAACAAACAAAAATTTAAAAGATACAAATTATCTCTAGAACAAGATAAAAAGCCTTTACTAAGCCTCGTTTTTTCTCGGCTGCTTCGATGCGCTCTTTCTCTCTTCCCACACACACTCTCTCTCTCTCTATTTCTATCTCTATCCATCCACAGAGTAATTACCACAGGCGCCGCATCGACGGTGGTCAAAAAACAGGACTCTGGTCAACAGGTGTTGAGCATAAATTCGCTCGATAAGAACTGTAAGTGGCTGTCGTTAAAAATCAGTATAAGAATCTGTTTGAGAAATCAAATAAATTAGTGTTGCACGCGTTGTTGATGTGTTGTAATCGATTTGTATATATCGATGATTGTTAGGGGTTTCGCTAATCGACTGTTCTCTCTCTCTATTTGTATACTTCTCTTTGCTACTTTCCGCTCGCTCGCTGTAACCAACTTCCACCGAATGTATTATCCACTTTCTCGATCTCTGTCTGTCTCTCTCTCTTTCTCTTTCTGTTGTCGCTGTGTTTGCTCTCGTATTGCTGTCACGCATTACCAACACCAACACCAATACCTAATCCACCCACTCATGCTCCCCACCCCACTCACTCTTCCCACATACACTGTCATTCACTTACTCTCACTCATCATAAAAATACACACGGCGGCGGCGGCGGGCGGCGGGCTGTGGCGTATTAGATCTTTTGGTCGATCAGGCAACAGCGGCAGCAGCTGCGGCTGCGGCAGCAGGTGGAGGTGATCCGGCGAATGCTGCACACCATCATGCATTGACAAATGGCAGCATTGTTGACACAAAAACTGGACAAACGGTATTAACCACATCGAGTGCCGCCGCTGCGGCCAAGTCGCATTTTGGCTCAATTGGAGCATTGCATCTCACCCAAGAGGAGTGCAATGAGATCCTAATCAAGCGCGCCATTGCAGCCGGCCACGGCCACCACCAGACGCACACACTCACCGCTGGCGACGGAGCCCACCACCATCATCATTCGACGGCGCCGGGCGCGACACCAAGTAAGCATCTCAAATCTGTGTTGTGTTCGACTATCTCCTCCTTCTCCTCCAATACGCTCCTACTGCTACAACACTCTCTGTCTCTGTCTGACTCTCTCTGGCACTGGTACTGGTATTCGGTATTCTCGTTGCTTACTACCTGTTGCGTCGTTACGTCGTTGCGTTACGCAATGCGACGTCATGTTGCTTTACGCTGCGTTACGTTGCGTTGCGTCGCATTACATTGCATTGCTGCTTACCGTAATTGTTAGCGGTTGAAAATTCGAATATTTGTTATTAGATTTCGTTTTTATGTTTTTAATTTTTCTAAAAATATATAAAAATTATATTTATTTAAATTTCTTGAGTTCTATTATATTTTGTTTTTCTTTTCTTTTTTTTCTCTTTGTTTTGTTCTGTTGAGTTTGTGTTTGGTTCGCACTTTTGATTTTCTTTCTTTGTTTTCTTCTCTTTTATTTTTGATATATCTTCCTTTGAATTCCATTTGGTTATTGTTCCGTTGGCGGTGCAACAACACTCTTAGGTGACATACTTCCTGGTATTTCAGTTCAAGTACAGAAAGTAATACAAGGACTCGAAGAGAACGAGGACTCGCAGGGCGACGCACCCAACTTAAAGTTGGAGCCAGGCACATTAGAATTGTCCCCAAAGACCGAACTACAGGAATCAATGCATTTCAGCGAAGTAAGCCCAACATTTATGTTACACTCACTTACACACCCACACTCACATACACACTTAAACACGCAAAACTAAAACAAAAAAAAAAAAAAAATGAAAATATAGAAATGTATATGAACTATTTATAGAAATCCCCCAGATTCGCATAGTAATCAACGTCTTTTTCTCTCTTCTTCGTGGTCTCTTTTTATTCTCTTTTAGACCGACGCCACCATCAAAAAGGAGCGCCCGTACAGTTGTGACGAGTGCGGTAAATCCTTTCTGCTCAAACATCATTTGACAACACACGCACGCGTGCACACAGGTGGTTGTTCTTGTTCCTAGCACATACCTATGAAATTATGAGCAGGTCTAACCCCAAATTCTCGATCTGCCCCCTTTCTCTTTCTGTTTTTTTGCTGCATTTCCACTCTTTAGGCGAACGACCACATATTTGCACTCATTGCGGAAAAAGTTTT